CACAGGGAGCCAACTTCCCTAGCGGTGGACGAAGCTATTGATTCAATGTATTTTTTCCATCTCAGGTCAGCGGACAATGTGAGACCGATCAGACACAAAGAGGTGCTCTCGAGAAGTTGAGCATCAGACATTCTAATGGGAGGCAGCGATGGTTCTCTCTGGTGAGTAATAGAGAGCAGTTTTGTTTTTGAGGCATTAAAGTTAACTAGCCAATTCCTGCCACAGCCCACAACAGATTAGAGAACCTTTTCGAGACAAACGGCCAGGTTAGTTTTGTCGGCGACGCTAGATTTGTTTTTGAGGTTTTGAAAAAAAATGGAAACAAAAAGAAACCTTATACTTAACATCAAGAAGAGGCAGTTGAAATTTTTTGGGCACGTAATGGGGAAGGAGGGCTTGGAGAATCTGATACTCACAAGGCAGATTAAGGGAAAGAGGAAAGCAGTGCTTAACATACTTGATGGGCTTGAGCAAATGGATGGTAGAACAGGGTTTGAGAGAAATAACAAAAGACGAAAGTTATTAATAGATACAAGTTACAGGATGATGTGGAGGGCCATGATTGCCTACGTTCTGGAGAGACACGGCACATTAAAGAAGTGGCTAGTATGAATGTCTATTATTATTATTAAAAGAAAGTAAATGGCACAGCCAATCGAATCCGAGGATGCCAGTTTTCTAGAGCAGCTGGCTAATCCCAATTGCAGACGCGTTCTCAGGCACTTTGTCCAAACCCCAGGAGCCCACCTGTGTTTTATACTTCTCTGGGAGGGCTCGCGTTATCTAGCGTGATCAGCAGTCTAAAGAAGGCTAGCACACTCAATCCCTCGGTCACGATGACTTGTGACTTCATGCTAGCACAACCACTATTATTTTGGTGTGGAAATCAGTTGAAATTCTGCTATTGATGCACGATGTCACCAATAATTTTTCGGAGAATTCGCGGAGAGTAAATGATAGCAGTTTTCCGAAAGTTTTCTGGGCTTCTGGAATTATATCGAAAGGAGTAAATAAATATATGGAACAAATTCCTGGAAGCCCTAAGATCATACTTATGGTAATTTCTGCCATCTTGAGGAGATTTCTCTCCATGCAGTGACAAAATTACATATTTTTTTCTCTGTGATTGCATTATTCCTCATCTGTTTGCATCTTCTGCAGCTAATAATAACTTGCTTATAATAATAATAATAATAATAATAATAATAATAAAGCTGTCAAAATACAAGGACCTTGAAATAGAAATCTCGAAAATGTGGCATATGGGAACATCAACAATCCCTATTTGTAGTTGGAGCCCTAGGACTGGTTGGAAAAGATTGCAGTAGACTATTTGAAGGATTCCTGGAAGTCCATGCCTCAAGGAGATACAAAAATTGTTCTGACAAGTACAGCCCACACCTTACGAAGGACTTTATCTATGTAATTTAATTCTTATTTTTTTTTTTTTTTTTTGTCAGTGGAAAGTGTCATGATGCCATTTCTAACCTTAGGTCACTAAGGGACCCGGAAAGAAATGTAAATGCCAGAAATGCCAAAAAATAATAAAATAATAATAATAATAATAATAATAATAATTGAAGGGATTCCTGGAAGTCCATGCCTCAAGGAGATACAAAAAATTGTTCTGACAAGTACAGCCCACACCTTACGAAGGGCTTTATCTATGTAATTTTCTTTTTTTTTTTTTTTTGTCAGTGGAAAGTGTCATGACGCCATTTCTAACCTTAGGTCCCTGGGCAGGACCCGGAAAGAAATGTGTAAACACCAGAAATCAAAGAAAATAATAATAATAATAATAATTGGCACGTAAGTACATCATCAATTCCAGTTGTAGTTGGAGCCCTCGCTTTCATTGGAAAATGTTCTGATAGACACATTGAAGGGGCCCTGGGTAGCCCAATCCTTACAAAAATACAAAATGTTGTACTCACAAGTACAGCTCATATCTTACAAAAGACTTTAGTTTATCTATTTAAAATATGTATTTTCTTAGGTTGCTTTTTTTCCAAAAAAATATTCAGTTGAAATTGTCAGGATGCCATTTCTGATCCTTTGTCCCTGGTTGAGACCTGCAAGGAAATACAATAGAAATCAAAGAAAATAATAATAATAATAATAATAATCTAAAAGAGTGGCACATGGGAACATCAACAATACCTGTTGTAGTTGGAGCCTTCAGGTTGATTTGAAACGGTTCCAGTAGACACATTGAAGGGATTCCTGGAAGCCCATGACTTGAAGAAATACAAAAAAATGTTCTCACGAATACAGGCCACATCTTACGAAGGGCTTTATCTATGTGTGTGTTTTTTTTTTTTCACCTTTTTTTAAATTACTCAGTGGAAAATGTCATGATGCCATTTCTGACCTTAGGTCACTGTGCGGGACCCGGATGGAAATAAATACACATCAGAAATCTAAGGAAATAATAATAATAATAATAATAATAATAATAATAATTATTATTATTATTATTATTATTATTATTTTCATTCTAGTGTCAATGGAAATTCTGTTCTTGAGCCATGGTGTCAACAAGATGCTTACAACTAAAGAACGTTTCGGAGAATCCTCGCAGACTAAATGTTCCAAGCGCAACCATTACTACAGGAATTAGTTCTACAGTCATGTTCCATAGTTTCTTCTGTTCCCTAGCCAAACTCTGGCAGCATTAATTTCTTTGCAGTCCACATCGGTATCATATGGAACAGCAAAATCAGTACATTGACACTTGCTATTCTCCTTATCTATAATATATCTTCGTACTACAATGACATAATTTGTCTGCGCTGAGACATACCATAATATCTGGCGACTGACATTTTCTACCGCTGCCTCTGGCTGATATTTGTACCACTTCTCTTTTTGTCAAACTTACGGCATAGTTCTTCCCAATGGACTCTCATACCAATCCAAATCCAATCATGTCGCTTCTACTTCTTCTCTGTCAACTTGGGACATTATTATTAAAAAAACTTTTTCCTTCATTTATTTCGTAATTATATGCTGAATTATAACTAATGACCTCAGGCAAGTGAAGTATATCAATTTTTATTGTCTCCACTTGAACAAAAGACCGCTTTTAACAAAAAACAAAACAAAAAATTAAATGGACGAAGCTCTTAGCAAGATATGAGCTGTCCTTTTTTTGTATTTGCTGGTTAGATGGTGTACCATGGATTAAGTTAATTTGTTGTTGAGTCTCTTTTTTCAGCAGACCCAAAGCTCCAACCACAATGGGAATAGTTTTAGATTTTAAGTGCTACATTCTTTTTTCAGTTTCTGTCTCCAGACCTTTGCATTTGCTTAGTTTAAAAAAAAAATCTTCGGAGAGATATTTTTATCAATTGGTACACTCATAATCAATCTGTATGCAAACTTGTTTTCATTTATGTCTTTGATAATAAAGTCTGTGCTGTTTTCTTGTATTGTTCGATCTGTGTTGGTAGAAAAAGGTCAGTGGATGGTAACATCTGCTCCCTCAAATACACATTCAGGATTATGTCTGTGCCAGTTTACAAATGTTTATTTTTATCCGAGAGTGTTAGGGCCCCCAGCTATGGGCAAATAGTTAAGCTCCAATCTGGGGCCAAAACACTGTGAAAGTGTAAAAATAGGTTTTAATACCAATAATACATTTTTTGGAAAAATTATTACCAGCAATTGATTTTGGAAAAAAATACCATCAATACATTTCTGAAGGAAAAAATATTACCAGCAGTAAATTTGCGGAAAAAAAAAAACATTACCAGCAATACATTTTTGAGAAAAAATATTACCAGGAATACATTTTTCACAAAAAAAAACCCCAAAAAACTATTACCAGCAATACCTTTTTGAAAAAAAAAGCAAAACATTACTAGCAATACATTTTTGAAAAAATAAATATTACCAGGTATACATTTTTCACATAAAATATTATCAGCAATACTATTTTAAAAATAAAAATGATGTTACCAGCAATACATCTTTCAAAATAAAACATAACCAGCAATACATTTCTTAAAAAAATCATTAGCACCAATAATTTTTTTCAAAAAAAGAAACATTACACGCAATACATTTAAAAAAAAACATTGCCAGCAATACATTTTCCAAAAAAAAAAAATACATTACAAGTAATACATTTTTCAAAAAAAAATCCTTATCAGCAATTTATCAGAAATAAAAAAAAAAAATCCTTATCAGAAATACATTTTTTCAAAAAAAAATCCTTATCAGAAATACATTTTTTCCTTATCAAAAAAAAAAAAATCCTTATCAATACATTTACATTTTTCAAAAAAAAATTCTTATCAGAAATACATTTGCAAAAAAAAAAATTTTTATCAGAAATTATCAAAAAATACATTTTTCAAAAAAAAAATCCTTATCAGCAATACATTTAAAAAAAATCCTTATCAGAAATACATTTTTCAAAAAAAAATCCTTATCAGCAATACATTTAAAAAAAATCCTTATCAGCAATACATTTTTTAAAAAAATCCTTATCATCAATACATTTAAAAAAAAAATACATATCAGCAATACATTTTTAAAAAAAAATCCTTATCAGCAATACATTTAAAAAAAAATCCTTATCAGCAATACATTTTTTAAAAAATCTTTATCAGCAATACATTTAAAAAAAATCCTTATCAGCTATACATTTAAAAAAAAATCCTTATAAGCAATACATTTAAAAAAAAATCCTTATCAATACATTTAAAAAAAAATACATATCAGCAATACATTTTTCAAAAAAAAAATCCTTATCAGCAATACATATTTTTTTTAAAAAAATCCTTATCAGCAATACATTTTTAAAAAAATCTTTATCAGCAATACATATTTTAAAAAACAAACATTACAAAAAATACATTTTTCAAAAAAAAACAAAAAAAATAAAGAAAAAAAAATTACCAGCAATACATTTTGGAAAAAAAAAGAAGAAATTACCTGTAATAAAAATCTTGTCGGCATTAAATTGATTGAAACATTGATCAACATTCAGGATTATGTCTGTCCGCGTTTACAGCTGTTTAATTTTAGCCCACAGTAATGACAGAACTTCCAATGAAGATATTGACCTAATCTGTCATAATGGTTTTGCTACACATTAATCTAGCACCTCAATACCGGCCAGCAACACTTCACACACCTGTAAGCTCAATGGACAATGATCAATAAATAATATTAGATTTAGGTTAGCTAGAAAGTCCTCTTTCACTTAGGAAGCGAAAAGGTAACAACAAATCTTGATCTCTGTTTGGTGGAATTTCCAAGGAGTACTGCATTTTGAGCTTTTTGCACACAGTGGCGCCATCAATATTGCTGGCATCTAAACTACGTGTACGATAAACTAAAGAAGGCGTATCCTGCTTTGGTCAATCGAGGTCGGGCTTTGTTTCAGCAAAAAAATGCGAGGTCACACTGCCTGGTTGACTAAGGAGAAGTTCAAACAGATGGACGGCGTTGAGATTCTTCCACATCCACCATTCAGTCCCGATGCTGCTCCGAGTGACTATGGCCTATATTCCGTTCAGTGGCACACTTCCTCCTTGACCAGCGATTAAACCAATTTGAATATCCTGCTTTATTCAATCACTCTGCCAGGTTGACTAAGGAGAGATTCAAACAGATGGACGGTGTTGAGTGTCTTCCACATCCACCATTCAGTCCCGATGCTGCGCCGAATGACTATGGCCTATATTACTCTCAGTGGCACACTTCCTCCTTGACCAGCGATTCAACCAATTTGAATATCCTGCTTTAGTCAATCACTCTGCCAGGTTGACTAAGGAGAGATTTAAACAGATGGGCGGTGTTGAGTGTCTTCCACATCCACCATTCAGTCCCGATGCTGCGCCGAGTGACTATGGCCTATATTCCGCTCAGTGGAACACTTCCTCCGTGATCAGCGATTCAACACTTTTGTTTTGAAGAAGTGAAAGAAGCTTTTTTTACAGTTTTTTTTATTCAAAGCCAGCGTAAATGAACGTAAATGATCTGTGAAAATAATTAATTTTTTCACTCATTCATAAGCAAAATACAAGTCATCCTTTTGATTTTAAAAATGTGAAAATGGTTGAATTTATTCATCACAAAACATGTAAAAGTTTTGAATAAGCTATGATATCTCAGTTTAATTACCTAAAAAGGTTGGGTTTCATAAAATCTCACATTTTCTGGGTAAGACAGAAATTAAAGAAGATAATACTAATTTGGCCAGAAAGTTCTGGCTCATATAGGAAGTGAAAAGAAAACAAAACTTGATCTCTGTGTGGTGGAATTTCCCAGGAGACTTGAATTTCAAGCTTGTTCCACATGGTTGCACCATCAATGCTAAACTGTATTTCCAGAAGCTCGACCGTATGTACAACACACTAAAGAAAGAATATCCTACTTTAGTCAATCACTCTGCCAGGTTGACTAAGGAGAGATTCAAACAGATGGACGGTGTTGAGTGTCTTCCACATCCACCATTCAGTCCCGATGCTGCTCCGAGTGACTATACCTTATTCCCCTGAATGTCACACTTCCGCTGTGACCAGCGATTCAAAACTTTTGTTTTGAAGAAGTGAAAGAATCTGTTTTACAGGTTTTATTTTCATTCAATGCTAGCGGACTGGTTATTTGGAACAGGTTCAGATGCTGGCCAATCGCCGGCAGAAGATCGAGATTGATAGATTTCATCTGTCTATATTTCTGATATGAGGTATTTTACATTATTTACATTATTCGGGTATTGTCCTCATCTTTGTCGCCATATTTATTACAAGTACGCTCCGGACCTTCTTCAGGTAGTTGGAATGCCGAATGAACCTTTTATTTAATATTACTGGGGTAGACTGTTCTAGTTCCACGTGCCATATTTAATGGATGTCAGTTATCAGTTATCTGCGGTTATTTCCCCTCTGAAAGTTCTCCACTGCATTAACCGGGTATCGAACTCACACACTTTGGGTCTTGTCACTGGATCTAACCAACGCCTTTATCCACTGTGCCATGTGTCTTTGTTATATATTAGAGGCAATTCATACTATTTAATAGCAATAAGAACAAACATCTTAAAATAATAGGACTAAAGAATAAGAACAATATAAGGCGTCTACCGGAGGAGGACTGACATTGAAATAATTTAAAACAATACTCCGATACAGACACTTAGAGGCTGATGATAGCCGCGTATAGAACGGCTTGAAATAGACTATCCTCTATGTTAATACATATTCTCTGTTAAAACAAAAACATCGAGCTCTCTGTGGATCAGTTTTAATAATTAATATTACTAAGTTCCACCCGGATTATATACCAAAGGATCGACTAATGGTACTATAATATCTATCTATCTATCTATCTATCTATCTATCTATCTTCGACTCTCCCGTCGAATTCGACGTATGAGGGTCAAGCAGATCAGTTCCTTCGTGCAGGACCATCCACACTTTTTGAAGGGCCGAATACAGAGACCTGGTGCACTACGTGTATATATATATATATATATATATATATATATATATATATATATATATATATATATTAGCCTCTGTAGGTGCAATTCTCGGAGTATCAATAACAGGGACAACAAGAAAGGTTGAGAAGAGAAACTGACTTTATATATATATATATATAGCTTCTTTGCTTAGCCATTTAAAGTACTATTAAAGTAAGAGAAAAATTAAAGAACAAGAATTAAGAAAACAGAAGATGACGATTGCTTTTAAATTTTTAAAGATCAATGTTGACTGGAAAACAAGAAACCGGAAAGGTGCAAGAGAAGAAACTGCTAACAAAGAACATGCGGTTACTTCTCGCCATTCCAACTGTAAAATGATGAGACCTTGCCGCCAATCTATTACTGTGCTTAAAGTCTCTCAGGGGCATATTTATTCGATAAGTTGTTAGCGATTCTTTGGTTACAGGTCGTTCGGGACCCTCTTTCCAACAAGTGAAACTTTTTTTTACAATTTTGTATGACTAATATTAAATTCAATAAGACCGCTTTCCAAATACAGTGGCTCATTTCCTTTTGGACGATCCTACCTTGGCTAGTCCACTAGACCAAAATTCCCAGCTTGGAAATTGAAAAACAAAACATATTGCTTATTTATTATTTTACTCAAAGCATCAACTCCGTAAGTGCGTTGGATGAATTTTCCTGTAGGAAATGCTCTGGTCTCTTTATCAAAACTCATAGTACATCATTAGTAATATGTTCTTGAGTTTCTGGGAACATAGAGGCAAGATTCTATATTAACCCGTTGACGCCTGACCACCGTTTTACCGGTGGTAGATAAAAATGACATAATGCTCAGCCACCGGTTTAACGGTGGGTAAGCACTTGCGTCGTGTTTTGCTATTGGTTATCTTATTTGGGTAGACTGAGACACAAAGAAAAATTCTGGCGATAAAGTGAAGGCCTGCTAAGTAAAGGGTGTTTCATTAAGACGGATCAACGTCAACAGTAAATAAATCAGTGTTATTGGTGAAAATTTATCTATTTCTCTATTGGATCCTGCTATTTAAGTCATAGCAATTATGTGTGAAAAATAATATCGCCAAAACGTCCGCTAAGACTTCGGTGGTACACCTCCACTCGATGGTCTAAATTTTTGACGACGTCTCTGCATAGTTGCTCCTCCATCTCACCAATATGTCTTATTATGTCATCCTTCATCTGTTGAATTGTTGGTTTGTTGGCATAAACCTTACTTTTGAGGTGATCCCAAAGGAAGAAAGCTAAAGGCGTCAAATCGCACGATCATTGTGGCCAATTGACTTCGATGTTTCGAGAGATGATGCGACCTGGGAACTTCTTGTTGCATTTCTGTTTGAACGTCCATTTTCGTAATAGGCTTCGATAATTTTAACACATTGGCAATTTCAACCATTGGAAGATTAACAATCAAACAAAGACGTAAGTTGTTAAATCTGAAAGAAAAAGAAAAAATCATTAGACGCTTAAACTTAATTCACATGTAAAATCGGTCCAATTTATTGGAACACCTTATATATATATATATATATATATATATATATATATATATATATATATATATATATATATATTGAACAATAAAATCTTCAGACACACTGAGTTGTAGATTAATATTCTTTCGTTTTTTATTATTATTTCATTTAGATTCCTCGACTAGTTTCGGCCAAAATTGCCATCATCGGAAGGAGAAATATTTCTGCTTGCTGGTAGCAGTAAACTACAGAAATGAATGTCTTGATGGAGAAAATGAACTTTTGTCTGTAGTTTTCATTTGTTTTTTTTATATCTTATTTTTAAATATAACTTTTCTTTGGAAGAGTATTTTAAGTATGATTTTGTATTTTTAGACATAACTTTATAAATATATATATATAACTTAATTGTTCAAAGTTACTTTTTGTTCCTCTCTTAGTTTCAAATTAACATTTCATTTTTCATATAACCCCAATGTCATGCCATAATGTTAAGATCCATGTTTAATTTTATAAAACCTCTTTCCTTTAAGACTAATGCCTTCCACCATTCTCTGACCTTTGGCTAAGTTTGTTTAAATTTACGAACAATTTTTCCAACTGCACTCTTGAAACTTTAACACGTTGTTTGGTTGCTAATCTTTCCATGGTTGAAATTGTCAAATACTTAAGTTGTTAAATCTGAAAATAGAAGAAAAAAATCATTAGACGCTTAATATTAATTGACATTTAAAATCGGTCTAAGTTATTGGAACACCCATTAAAAAGGACCTGAAAATTGTGGAGAGCCAATGTCACCAAAGTCCATTTTCGTAATAAGCTTCGATAAGTGTAATACGTTGTTTGATTGTTAATCTTTCCATGGTTGAAATGGCCCAAGACTTAAGTTGTTAAATATGAAAGAAAAAAAAAAAATCACGAGACGCTTAAACTTAATTCACATTTAAAATCGGTATTGGGACACCCTTTATAAAATGTCCTGTCGTCTTTCTCAATACCATGAATTATGAATATAAAATAAAATTACCTTTAAAAATTAAATGGATATTAATAAGTAAAATTTCGTCTACGAAATAGTTACCTCAAATGGCTTCTCCAAAATGCTAATTCCTTTGGTATGATGGACAGCAAAGACGTTTGTTTTCCATATGGCGATGTTTTTCGGTACCCTCAAGTTATCATAGACATAGGTTTTTTTGCTAAATATAGAAAAAGATATTTTGCTCTAAAACAAAAAAATCCCGAACATATTGTCAGAAAACAAATTTTTTATAAACCTTTTCCTGTTTACCTCTCTGAAAACTCTTTCCGTCTATCTCACTCTATTTCCTTCTCCCTCTGTTTCTTTCTGTCCTTCTCCCTCTATCTTTCTTTCCATTTTTCTCTCTTTCTCATTTCTCTTTCCCTCTGTCGCCTTCCTTCCTTCTTTTTTCTCTCTTCCTTTCATTCAGCCTCTCTCTCTTTCGTTCCTTCTCTTGTTTCATATCTTCCTCTCATTCTCTCTCCGTTACTGTGTCATCGGGCATGACGACTCTTTCATTCTCTCTCTGTTTATTCTTCTCTTTTTTGATCTATCACATGTTGTTCATTATCTATCTATCTATCTATCTATCTATCTATCTATCTATCTATCTATCACAAGCGCTTCTTTATCTATCAAAAGCTCTCATCTATCTATCTATCTATCTAAGTTTGTTCATATCTATCTATCTATCTATCTATCTATCTATCTATCTATCTATCTATCTATCTATCTATCTATCTATCACAAGCGCTTCTTTATCTATCTATCTATCTATCTATCTATCTATCTATCTATCTATCTATCTATCTATCTCAGTTTGTCCATATCTATCTATCTATCTATCTATCTATCTATCTATCTATCTATTTATCACAAGCGCTTCTTTATATATCTATCAGAAGCTTTCATCTATCTATCTATCAATCACAAGCGTTTCTTTATATATTTATCACAAGCTTTCATCTATCTATCTATCTATTACAAGCATATCTTCTATCTTTATATATCCATCTATCTAAGATCTATCTATCTATCTATCTATATTATCTTTTCATCTATCTATCTATCTATCATTATCTATCTATCAAGCTTTCATCTATCTATCATTCACAAGCGCTTCTTTATATATCTATCACAAGCTTTCATCTATCTATCTATCTATATATCCCTCTGTTTGTTCATATCTATCTATCTATCTATCTATCTATCTATCTATCTATTTATCTATCTATCTATCTATCTATCTCTTCGGCTTATACCACTCTTATCACCTACCTCTTTGCATTATGATAGACACTCTAGCAACGAACTAGAATTCCCGAGTAGACAACAATTTTCTTTGTTTTCTGCTTCATTTTGGTCGTTTGCCGCTAAATTGAGTTCTTCATTCAAACGAAGAACAGCGAAAGTCCAGGTCTGACAAAATCGGTTCTGCCAACATGGTGATTAATTGTTTTGGGAGGAAGCGGAAACGAAATATATATCTTTGGGCATGCGCAAACGATAATGTAAAAATAAAATGGTATCTTAAGAGAATTCCGAAAATTGCTTTTCTCTTTTTTGTTTTCTAGACATAAAAAAAGTGGAAATTCTTTTTATTTTATTTGATGTTCTGAAATTGTTTTATGAAGTTGAAGATATGTGTAGCATCGATTGCATTTTCTTCATAGCTGAAGCAGTTCACTATTTCTTAGATTAGTGTTCGCATCTCGGTAAGATGACAGGATATTGAATGCTGATTTTGAAAGAACGTAAGCTAATTAGTGTTCAATAATTGCAGAAATGCCGTATACATTTTTTTTTAATCTGGTTCATCTTTTTCATCTTGTTCCGTTGTGTTATTGAAAAACAAAATGGGAAAAAAAATCTATGAAAAACGTTTCGCTTTTTAAAACGACGTCATAAAACTAAATATTCTTATTGAGGGAATTATATAAATGTACGGCAGGGTTTCCCATCCTGGGCGATATCGCCCACCAGCGGGCGATTTCAATTGTTGGGTGGGCGATGAACAGAAAATAGTGAGCGATGAGAACATTTTGGTGGATGATAGAGGATTTTGTGTATAAAAAAGATATTTCAACACATGCTACTTGAAAAAACAACAACAAAAAAACAAAAACTTATTAAAGCAAATGTGACTTCCGGCATTTTCTTTAAGAATTTTTAATATAAAATATAACGAAACAAACTTTTTCATCTGGTTCTGTTGTGTTATTGAAAAACAAGATAGGAAAAAATCTATGAAAAACGTTTCGCTTTTTAAAACGACTTTATAAAACTAAATGTTCATATTGATGGAATTATATAAATGCACGGCAGGGTTTCCCATACTGGGCGATATCGCCCACCAGCAGGCGATTTCAACTGTTGGGTGGGCGATATGCAATTGAACAGAAAATAGTGGGCGATGAGAAAATTTTGGTGGGCGATACAGGATTTTGAGTATAAAAAAGACATTTCAACATAAGCTACTTGAAAAAAAAACTTATTAAAGGAAATGTGACTTCCGGCATTTTCT